TTAGTTGGAAACGGCGCGGAATTCCGGCCTTCCTTCTAACTGAACAGGACATGTCCGGTTGTACTGTTTGCACCGTGACGTCGTTGATCCCTTCTGGTCCCGCTGAAGTTTGACGGTACGCAACGCATGTAGAACACGGGATGTCATTTGCACTCTTAACTGGAGGAAGAACCTGCTTCAAATTTCTCGATTGATATTGATTTTCTGTATTTGTTGGCCCCTACTGAATTTCTTAACAAAACATTGTAATGTTCAAATCATATCTAATTCAGTTCCATGAATACTCCAAAACCGTGATATTAGTTTGCGGTGCGCCCCCCAGAGTCTTTCCACAGCAATTAAAGGGTGACCATTCCACATTTCACGGAGTCCTATATTTGCTTGCACTTTTTAAAAATAGCTATAAAAAATAAACTGCCTAATCCCAAATCAATATATTTCCTCCACGCAATTGAGGCCAAATACTGTTTCTAATTGGTCAGTTGGAGTGAAAGGGGGGATTACGTAATATTATGATGCGACTTTTTGACATTGGGACTTTTATTACTATGCGACGATGCGACGATGATGCCGTTTTACATGGCAGTAGGTCTCTGATGCAATTCCATTATTTTCTGGCTACAGTTTATAGTTTCTTTCACGCCCTGCGCAAAAACCTCAGAAGTTATCTCAAAGCTTCTTCAGGTTTTTTCTCCTTCTGGAAAGCTACCGTCTTACTTCAGGCAAATACAACTTTATTTGTATTTAACCCTAACACTCCTCAATCCTCCAACAGGTGAAGGATTGAAGAGTGTTGGGGTTAATCTGGCAATTTTACTGCACAAAAGAACATTAGCAAGAAGAAATCCCGTACATGCCCTGCATCCCAAACAATTTTGCTGCAATATCTTTTTTTTTATTAGCCAAAAAATCATGGCATATATACGGAAGGTTAAAGCATATCGTTGTTTTGCATTTTGTTATCTCTTGATGTGAAATACTGAAGATCTGTTATTACAATCATGATTGAACAATTCTGGCAAGGGAACCTTTCAAAAATATCAAAGTAAATACTTCCAGTTTTGAATTCAGAACTGAATGGATATGGAGGTATAACTTTAAGAAGGGGACAGCTTGTACATGTACCTTTAACGAGCGAATGGAGCAAAATAAGCAGAGCGGCCGACCGCCCCAACACCCATCTGATTCAGCCTTCAACACTGAACACATGACCGTAGAGAAAGTCATGTTGAGTGACTCAAGATCAGTCTCTGGAAACCAAAAATCACTTAAAATACTGACCATCTAGTACAAGGCAATTGGTAATGTACACAGTCCTTCACAGTAACCTACTGATGCGAAATTCTTCCACAAATTCCCCTCAATAAATGCATAGCTACTTGCGGGGAAATAAAGGATTCACTCTCCCCACAATTTTACTGCAACTTGTCCCGGACGAGATTTGAGATGACCCCTACATGTGCACCTACATGCGTTTACTCTGAATGACATGACGTGCATGCCCCGAAAAAAACCCCCCGCAAGATCCCAATTCTGTGTGACCTACTGATCTCTGTCGCAAAGATTTATGGGTGGGTAATTTCACGAAATACACTTCCATTGTGCTCAGGCCGGGGAACATACCGTACACCATGAACGATGTCAAGGAAGTAGACTGGGCCCATAGAGCTGTACACCCCGGTTATTTAAGTCCCACAAACACCTGTGATAATTCCCTACACTTCAAAATTCTTTAAAAGTACAACTCTCAGGCTGCACTGAAAATGATGATCAACATGTCTTTTAATTTCCTTCAATTTTTGGTGGGTTCACTAATGGCCTTTTGAGAAATTCTCACCCAAAGCAGACCACCCCTAAAACGAAAAATATTTCCCCAAGTAAACTGGGAAAGTAGCCATACAAAACGGCCAAATAGCCTAGAACCACCTTCGGACCCGAATGCACCCAAAGTGCTCAGAATTAGAAGCCCAAAGTCCAGGCCAGAGGTTCAGTGGAAAATGCCTTTGATTCCCCAATTCCATATTCATGATGGCTCTTAAAACTGTCTAATATAGAATATCTTGAGTGTGTAACTTTTATAAATGTACTCGGCGGATAGATATTTGGCCTATAGACCACTCTCATTTGCCTACATTAACTTGTATGGGCGTCTCATTTTTGCAGCAATATCACTTTTTGTTTTTTCGTTCAAAATTGACATTTGTCCAGTTAATTTTGTTAAATAGGGTTGTATAAATTTCCGTTTAGTATTTATTATTACGGCGTGTTATAATTTGTTATTAATAGTTGCGGGGGATATTTAACACTTTTTACTTTTGCACCGACGGCCAACTACAGTTTTTCCAGTATAGACCTGGAGGACTCTTTCATGTCTACGGTGTGATGATAAACATGAATCCACCAAAAGGGTAGACCCTATCCGGTTCGTAAGTGTGACATCACTTCAGCTTCAATCACGCCCACTGCACGTGCACTGCACCACATGCACATAGAGTAACATGCATTGATCGCCGCTTACATGGAACCATGAACTTTAGCGCATGCAAATCGTGGCGCGTCCGCCTTTGTGACGAATCACTTCGAACCGGATAGCACGTATGTTTCAGAGGGGAAATTATAAGCTGCGCATGTTCCATTTTTAGGATCATTTGCATACGTAATGAAGGCCATAAGAATTCGTGCCAGGCACAAGCAGCTGCATTTCATGAAATTTAACTCTTATTTTCACTTTTGGAAAATAAAAATACCGTGCCCGAGAATATTTTCATAGTAAGGCCTTTACCTAACGTGTTTTGTGAAAATAAAATCGAGAAATAGTATCCGAGTGGTCAAAACCAGTGATATTTGTGGAACAAAGAATGAAATGAAGCAGTTGCTTGCCTGGCACGAATTCTCATGGTCCTAAGGAAGAAAAAACAGTGCTCACCGGTTTGCTCAGGTGCTGTGGGGGGACTGGTGGTTTGAATGCAGAGAAGTGGTAGACTTTTCTGCATTCAAACTACCAGTTCCCCCATAGCTCCGATGAAGGCCCAGTGTGGCCGAAAATTCAGCATCTGAGCAAACCGGTGACCATGCACTGTTTTTTCTTACTTTTCCCCTACATTTCCGATCAGTGCTCCGCAGGCTACTTTTCTCATGGTCCTCATACGGATGCAAATGACCCTAAAATGGGACATGCGCAGTTAATCATTTTCCGTTGAAACGAAACATTGGCGAATGGGATTAACACATACATGATGGGTGCACCCCGGGGGCGCTTGATGGCAGGGAAGCCTTGGAATCCGGTATATCCGGGTAGGGATCAAAGTGCGTTCATGTTTCGTCACAATCACAGACCTATAGTTATAAAAATTGGGCTGCATTCACCACAGCTAGCACATAACGTTGATTGTCGCGGTCCGTCACGGTGGCGAATCTGTCACACAGCTAGTGGTCACAATGTCTTTGGACTTCACAAGCACTGGCCTTGAGCTCCTGTTAATTTTCGTTCCTCCGTGGTACGTGGTCTCACTGTCTGTCTTGCTCCCTGTGTGTTTCAGTCTCCTGCCGTATGAATCCCTAACAGTTGTCACAGGAGGTAAGTTTCTCAGTAACTCTAACAAGGCCAAGCCGTAAATCTCGAGCCTTTGGCCTATGTAGCCTACACATAGTCAGGTGAAGCAGTGGGGACCGCGAACTATTTTCAAGAGGTATTTTTGCGTTGGGGAGATGTTAATTTCTATAACGGGTTACGCCCTTACCCAACATGTATATTAATAAACACTGTATGCTCAGTGCTTGTCCGAGAGTTTGCAGAAAAGTCACAAGCTTACTCGGGTGGGACTCGAACCCACGACCCCCCTGCTTACTAGTGCAGACGTCTTAACCACTCGACCACCAAGCTTGCCGGGATTGGCTGGCCGGTCCGAGTCAGGTGAAGCAGCGGGTACCGCGAACTATTTTCAAGATGTATTTTTGCGTTGGGGATTTTAATTTATATAACGGGTTTTGCCCTTACCCTAACCCTAAGTTACGGTTACATAAATGTTCCCGGGACTGCCGAATATTCTTTTTAAAGATTTTGTGAAAGAAAGAAACCAACAGCCTCAGTCAATTTGTTGAACATTTGTACCCATATTCTGAATGCTGCAGTTTTCGAGGATACAGAAATTTTGTCTATTTTGTTGAAGTTTCGTTTTAAAAGAGCGCATCCGGAAACAGTGAGCCGAATTTATGTGTAGTGTGTGTGTAGAAAACGGATGGGCCCTAATGTAGAAGTAACCAAAAAAAAAAAAAAAACGGTTGAAGTTCACATCACGCATTAAAACTGAAACAACAGGAAAATAAGTATAATATAAAAATGAGAGATACTGGATAAATTTGAAATCAAAATTTATCTACGAAAAGAGATTTTCTTAACGCAAAACTTTTGCCAACCCAATTACCCCGAAGCCTAATGGTATAGTCCAAACCAAAGATAGTATGGGGTGCAGTGACCCAATTCGAGGAAAATTCTCCGCCTGGATGAGGCGCATAAAAAGTACCCCCCCCCCAAAGATTCTTTCAAAAAGAGGGGTCTGTTTGGGCCAAGAAATGGTGGGATTGTGCCAGTGTGGCCCGGAATCATCTCTGTAGATTCAGGGGCACCCATCTGGGGGTAAAGCAGACAAAAATGTGACTGAAAATTTGTCAGAAGAGCCCCGAAAGGTGAGGGATGTCATTTGAAAAATGGCCGCTGAGAAGACTTTGGAACATTGACTTTTTGGGGGGGTGAAATTGTTTTTGGCGGATAATTAAAAAATTCATAGGTTAACCTCCTAAAAATTGAAAATCAAATGAAATCTGAAGGACCAAACAACACATTGTTTTTTGTTTGAGAGGCCTCAGGGACTTCAGTTGCCTGCCATGCATGGGGCTCCAAACCTGGTTGATTTTATGCTATTTTCAATGGAGCTTGAATTGCTTCAGTGCGCCATAGCTGCGCGGCGCCGCCAGGCGGCGCTATATTTTTATACTGTCTTTGATACTATCTTTGGTTCAAACCGGAACATGGCGGCTGTTTAGATCGAAGTGAGCACTGAGCAGCTGAGAGGATTTTCGTCAACAAAAACTACGATTTCCAGCAATAAGACCGCCCACGTTTCCAGATAGTATTTCTCTGTACCCATAATTATTAATTAGTAAGCTGAGAATGGATTTTGGACTTCAACTGACATGTAAACTCAGATGTGAAAGTGTGGACATGGAGCAGAATTACGCACGCACGTGCACAGCCGTACCACCATGGAGGTGGCCGTACTCGCCCAGTCACGTCACTGCATGCACTCTGTATGTCACGTCGCGAACACAAGCTGACTGCATTAACTTTACTGTTCGATGAAGTTTATTCCCCCACGAATCCACAGTGTTTCATTTTCCAACTTCCAAGAGGCAGATTTAAGGTAAATATACCGATTGCTCTTGGCCCTGGAAAAATGCTGTTAAGGCAAGACGGCAAGAGCACTTGTCATGACCCCCCCCCCCGCTGCGAGTGTCATAATGTTGGGATAACCCTAGACTGGAGACATTATTTGTTCACTCACTTGGGAATCCTAAGTCCACGAGATAATGAACATCCAGCCGGATTTCCCTCTGGACAATTTTTAAAACCTATGAAGACTGTTCGACATCTTTTTTGATGAGTTACATGAACTGAATGGTGCACTTTTTCAAACATTGAAGATTGACCAAGCATTTCTGGACAAGTGAGGGCACTTTTGCTTTGATGAAATCCGGGAAGACATGGTTCGGGTTGCATGTTTTCATGTTCAAAGTGTGAACCCCAAATTTGCTATCTGGGAGCTTTTCTGTGAGTGAAAAGGATTTTTGCTGGATGATTGCCATAAACTTACATAGCAATAAATTGCCAAAGAAAATAAAATCTGCCATAGCAGTGGTTTAAAAAATCTAGAAATTTTCTGTGCACAAATCAGTGCAACATTGAGATTCAGTGCCTTGGATGACATCATAGTTCTGCTCATAAATATGCAAATATCATTAGCATAAAACCTTAAAAGCATAAAAATGTCGGTTAAAATTGCAAAACTAAAATTTGAAATAGGTTAGTTGAAACCCAAAGAGGCAATTTCAAGGGTTTTTAGTAAAATTTATAAAAATCTTTCTATTTCCTGGTTCCTTTAAAGGAACTCCGTCTTGTAGGCCTAATTTTAGTTCAATTCAGGATATAATTTTAGCAGCACTTGCTTGAGGTTCATATCATCAGAAATGCAACGTTCCTCCACATACAAGAAATCAACTTACGAAAAATATGCAGGGGTGAGATTTCTCAGCTTTTTAGATGATTTCAGCTTTTTTTGTTCTAGATTTCAGCTTTTTTCCTCACAGGCTGTGTACAAAAGTAGAGGAGATTTTCACAGTTCAGCTTCTTTGTTTTTATCATTGGTCAATCTCCCCCCTGAATATGAGCCAAATTCCCAATGGGACATTCAGTAAGGTTCTACTTTTATGGTAAGCGATAAGAATGTTTCAAGTTTTGAGATGTCCTTTTATCAGCAGTAAACCTTACGAACCGTTTCAACAGAGGTATCTAAAGATCGCTTGCGAATGCCTCGGGTTTTCAAACTTGTCATTTTGTCAATGTTTTGCAACATCATTTACAGTGTCATCTGCCACGTTGAACGCTGGTCTGGTGGCACTCTGGGTGGGCGCGCTGTGTGTCTGGTACAAGGAAATCCATGCAGCCACCAAAGCGGTCTACTATTCTGGGAGCCACAGCATGAGGGCGCTCTTGACCAAGTCATATGGGAGTGATGTGCCGATGGTGTGCGAGACACACCCCAGGCCTGAGGTGGTCTTACCACACGATGTGCTAGTGAGAGTCCATGCAACAACCATCAATCCCATTGACATCAAGATGAGGGAAGGATTTGGAAAGAGAATATTAAACTTTCTCCGCAGAAAGCTGAAGGTATTTCTGTTTCCAATTTGCTAGGTATCTATTTTTTAATGTGCTGTGGGCATACAAAATTATTTTACTAATGGGGAATCCATTTTACTTGTAAACTGCAGAGACTTGATGATTCATCAAAGTTCTGTATTCTTAACATCAAAATAATGCTTTTCAAATGTTCATGTTTTCAAGTATGCAGTTTCCCCGAGGCACCTGTCACAGTTGGGAATCAGGATGCGATTCTGCCACATCAAAATTTTGGCTTTTATTCAAAGCAGTTTGAATTAATTGATGCTTTTTACCTTTTGTAAAAAAAAATAACTGTAGATAGCCGCTGGCGATGGCAAGAGTTTCCTCTGATTTTTGGCAAAGATTTCTCCGGTGTTGTGGAGGCAGTGGGGAAGTCCGTGTCAAAGGTCAAAGTAGGTGACGAGGTAAATACCATTTCATGTGACTTATAGGGTACACGCAGTCTTATCAACAGTGCAAAGGCTCAACCAGTTTGCTTCAATCTCAATTGAATTCTGGGCTAGAAGGCACGCTGGCAAAATTGGTTTGGAAACATGCAAGAATGCAGGAACTGCTTCACAAAAGGATTCCATCTCAGTGATCATATCTCATTGGTTCCTAGTTCTGTGACCACAGAGTTGTAGCATCAGGATTATGTTGATCATATAGATCTCTCGTAGGACACCATATTTGTAGGAAGATGTTCAGTGCCATTGGCTATATGTGAATGCCGTGTATAAACGTTGATCTGTGGCGCCACAAAAATTTGATGTTTGAAATGTCAATACAGTGCAATGTCACTATACCGAACACTGCTATACCGTACATTCGGCTGTACCAAATATCGTGCTTGGTTCCCAATATTTTGTGTACAAAACCTACCGAACATTATGTAGAACTTAGCAAATCAAACGAGATTCGCCACAGCATGCATCAGAGGTCGATCGTGAGCGGTAGCTTCACGACTTTTAGGATAAACTAAATAGCAATTTTGTAACTCAAGATTGAATAAAAAAACAAAAAGAATTCAGATACATTTCTAGAAACCTAGAAAAATGTGAATGCAATGGCAAAACATCACGAAAACAGCGAATCATAGTACATTTGTATCGTAAGAGGGCGCACTTCAGTTAGACAAGAGAGGGCACTAGTCAACATGGCAATGAAACGTTCGGCAGTTGATTTCGCTATACCGAATGACCGCTGTACTGAACATTTAGCGTGGACCCCGTCGTGGTCGTTATAGCAGCGTTCCACTGTATGTAGGAAATAATACCATTTCAGCCACTGGATCATGGACATTGTTTGTTCTGAACTCAGGTGTGGGGAGTCCTGTCTATTGTCCCACTACCTGGCACCTTTGCGGAGTATGTCCTCGTCAAGGAAGGACTTGTAACCCAGAAGCCTAGCTCACTTACTCATGTCCAGTCAGCGGCCTTAACCTTCGCTGCCATGACAACCTGGGGAGCACTGGTGAGAGCTGCTGGTCTGTCCTCAGGAAATACTGCCGGTAAACGGTAAGCTGTCTGAGGAAAGATTACTTGGGGTGTTAGAATATTTTGATTCTGGAGTTGTGTTGCCATGGATTATCTATCCACTTTTATTTTCAAACATTCTCTTCTTTTACAGTGTTCTTGTTCTCGCTGGCACTGGGGGTGTCGGTTCCTTCGCCATCCAATTAGTGAAGGCCTGGGGAGGTCATGTGACCACCAGCTGCAGCACCAGTGGTCAAGAGTTTGTGAAGAAGCTGGGAGCAGATGAGGTTGTGGATTATTCGAAGACAGATCTGGAGAGCGCCCTCAAAGACAAGCCGAGGCAAGTGGCTGGATGCAGTCAGTCCTATGTCACGCGACTGATTAAGAAATTGATAGTTAAGCTGGGGGGGCGCTGTTCAGTTTTTTTCAATTACTCGGATTCCTTGGATGTTGCAGGTTTGATGTGGTCCTAGATAGCCTCGGTCCGCGCTCCTACCAGACCTGTCTGAATCTCTGCAAGCGAGGAGGCTGTATGGTCACTTTGATCTCACCCCCCATGATGACTTTGGACAAGTATGGCCTTCTGCTGGGCACCCCTAAGATCATGTATGACCTGTACCGCATCAGCATCCCACAGGTCAGTGGTCACATCTTCTCATGTCTTACAAGACATTACTGGACACAGGACGCAGCCTGTGTATTGATTTACTTTTTGGTTTTCCAGCATACCCAAGCTACTTTGGCAAAATGAAATCATATAGGTATTTTAAGCCGTCAAAAAATAGTTTGGCATTTAGTGGGGACGGTTGCGTTTGACTTGTGCAGTGTTACGGGATAAGTAGTTTTGTGATTCTCTCTGTTTTTATGGTAAACAGAAGTTGTTCCACGGGAGAACTTTCAAGTACGGCTTTTTGGCTCCGAGTGCTGAAGGTTTGGATGTTGTTGCTGGTTTGGTGGAACAAGACAAGGTATGCTTAGAGTTGGAACCATGTTTCAGCCTGGGCTGATAGAACAGTGAGGCGGAAGCTTGATTGTTGATTTTTGAGGGGGTTTGAGAGTAAAAATGGTTCAAGATTTGATGGCAATAATTAGTCTTTGAAATTCTCCTGATTGACATATTTCCAAGAGCCATAGTGTCAGTTCTGTCAGGAATGACCCCATGGACAAGGTCTTGTACAATGACTTCCAAAGAGATGCGTTTACTTATTGTCAATTTGCATTAATACAAAGAACAAGTCTAGTGTTTCCCTTTAATATGTGACACTGTCATTTTGATGAATTGGAATGCCTAGTGGGTGGAAAAAATGGACAGATTCTACTTCCAAAATGGACCTGTGGCAACTTGCTGCATTTTAACGTTTGAACATAACCATGATTTTTTCGAAACAATTTTCAGATCAAGCCGATTGTGGAGAAAGTGTTCAATATGGAAGATTGCAACGAGGCCCTGGAACATGTACGAAAAGGACACGCCAGGGGTAAGACTGTACTGCTTATGAAACCTGATGAATAGTGAAACTGCTTTGCATATGCAAATGTTTGTAAATAAGGAGGGCAGTAGGCCCTGGAACAGGTGTTAAGAGAATACACCAGGAAGAAGATATGGTTTGCTGTTGATTAAGCATATATAATTAGGTTGCTTGAATATGCAAATGCATGCAAATATAGAAGGGCCAATAGCTGTAGAACATATTGCTACATAGATTTTAAGTTCTAATGCTTTCAGATGGATATTAGTCCTTATTTTATTTTATCCGGTTTGTAAGTGACTTCATCACAAAGTTGGACGCGCCATGATTTATATAAATAATGAATAATTGAAATGATGGTATTGGAATGTGAACTGGGTGTTTATTGAATGTCATAGTGCTTGATATGATCAGAGCCAAAAATAAATTGCAGGAAAGAATACATGTAAATCTATCCTTTATTTTTTTTTGTAGTCAACAACTATTTAAGTAACAGAGTAATTTGCCAAAGGTGATTTTAAAAATGATTTGAAAACGTGTTGAAATGTTTGAGTATCGTAGTGCTTAATTTTATCTGTAGTAATAATCATCTGCATAAAAGAATATCAAATGTAATGGCAAATTTTGAATTTATGTATATACTGATGAACGTGACTACTTTGCATATGCAAATAAGATGTAAAGTAGGAAGCCCATAGTTCTCTTCACTAATTAATTCATAAATGTGCAAGCATGCGCACAAATGGCCTTGGCAGCGAGAAGTGTGAGCCGGCCATTGAAAATGTGCAAGGGCGCGACTTTCATCATTTTCTCTCGGGTTTTCTGGCTCTAAGTTCCTTTTCTTCAGATTGGTTTTTGCTATGAAGCAGCATGAAAGGAGACCTGCTTAGATACGGCAATCTTGTGCGCACAAGAAAAATCACAAGTGAAAAGTCCTTTTCAGTGGTCCGCTTACACTTCTTGCTACCAAGGCCATTCGTGCACATGCGTGCAAAATTATGAATTTATTAATGTCAATGTCTGTTGGCTCTGGAGCAGATGTAGACGACAAACTAGGAAGACTGTCATATTTTTGAAATATGAATAATGCAGCTGCTTTGAATAAGTATTCAGACATATGCAAATAGAAGAGACTGTACCTTCGGGAAGGAGTTTCACGTAGTTTAAGATGCAGTGCAACAGTAATAGTGCATAGCAATAGTAGATCGCATGGAATGTAGAAAACTGAAAAATGTTTTATTTTTCCAAAGATGATTAGAAATCATGGTGAATGTATTGAAAATGTATATTTTAGTATGCACTAAGCACCACAGAACTTGTGTTGATAATAAATTGTATGAAAGGCCCCACATGCATCTGTTAATTTATGCCTAATTGCAATGAAATTCAAACTTTGGGCTCATTCTGATCACAGAAAGGAAGAAATGATGCTTAAAATTCTCTGATTTGGTTTATTTGGTTTGTCGGCGCAGACACAAATTTTCATCGCCCCCAAGAAAGTTGGAAAGCAGAGTATCCTCATTCCACATTTCCCATTAACTGGGAAATGAATTGATAAGATCAAGTTCATGTAACGTGCTGGATATATCCCTCGTATGTACAAAGTTGCTTCTTGCATCTAAAGAGTGTAATGCACCTCAAATAAAAAAACCCCAGTTTTTCTTAAGCATATATGTTATTGAGTTTACAAACACGGCCCCAACTTCCTGAGGTGTGATCCATTTCTTACTTAATAAGGAAGTTTGATGAAAGATGGTGTTAGGGGTCAAAGGTCATCCAGGGTCTTTAATGCCTGTGGTTTATGATTCAGTCATGGTTTTCTAACATAAAAACAAAAAAAAACATTGACTTGTTTTTGCTTTCAGCACTAAGCAAAAAGTATAGGTCTTGAAGCACGACCTGATTGAGACATTCATAGTAACCGGGCAACAGTGTCGCTATGGAGATCTACCATATATAGTCTCATCTGAGAAAGATTATTCAGCGTCATTTCCCATACCGGTGATTTCCTCCTCGTTATCATCGTCTCCAGCAACCTCCGCGTTGGCCTGTTCTAATTTCTCCAGATGTTTGGCTAATTCCATCTCCTCTGTGTCTGTGACAACCTTGGGCTGTAGGCCAAAAAAAGAAAACAAAATAGTTCCAATTCCCGCAACGACTACTTGTGACAGTAACGGTTTGGTTTATGGTGGGGAGGGGAGGGAAACTCACTGCCATGACTACGTTGAAGACTCCTCCACTCGCTCGGATGGAGTTCCTAATGAGTTCGATGGCAGTGTTCAGCTTCTTGAGGCCTTCTACTCGCTCCAGCGTCTGTGTTGTCACGACATACTGGGGCGGGGCAATCAGGTTGATCTAAAACAAGACGTAAAACAGTCAACTACAAACGAAGGCATCAGGTGTTCATAAAGCAACTCATCCTACGAATCAATTCATGACTTTATCAGAAAATTACACGGCAAATCCTTGCACTTGTCAATTAATACATCAGCAAATGATCAGTGAACCAATCTGTTAATTTATATAATGATCAAATAATAAAGAAGGTGGATATTCTTGAAAGACATGGAAGAAATGAAATGTAATCCAATACCTTGATGGGCATTTCTTCGGTTGATAGGTCCAAGCCTTTGAACAATGCATCCTTCACAGCATCAATACCATCATAGCCATAACAGGCAACCTCAATGTCTGAAAAGAGGTAGATATACCAACAGCTTGATTGGGACAAAAACCAAACATCTACAGACTCGTAAGACCAATTCTCAGGTCAAACTTTGAAGTTTAAGAAACACTGAGATTTCCATATCACTGTGAGAACCGTGCTCTGTGTCAAGATACAGGTAAATACAGTAACATCTAATGACATGTACTTTGAGAGTGAAATTTTGTGGGAAACAGTTGAAGTGGACTGCAGTGTTGCATTCGAGTCAATCACAAGTCATTCAGTTTTAAGCTAATTCACAAACTATTCAAATGAGCTGTGACAAAAGCATTCTGGCCTTGTGAAGGGACTTGTGACTGGACTTGTGACTGGACTTGTGAAGGGACTTGTAAAAAGACTTTTGATGGACTCAATACATTACTGGTGGACTGTCGACGACTTGTAAGAATAGCATATGACTTGTGGTAATCACCTGCCCTGATTTTGACGGCTTGAGGCGTTAACCGTCTGTGGATGTTCTCCATGAGTACTTTCCTTGTTTGTTCATCTAGCTGGCACTCGTCCAGTATCGAGGGGTCACTGTGGGTCAAGGGTGATGAAAATATGAAAGCCGTAGTTGGTGTTACTGCAACAAAAGTTGGAGCCTCATTGAAGTCTGTGCAAGACTGCTTGAGGGCGCTGCTTAGTCTGTAAGCAGAAGGTGAGCGAACTTTCGTGACCCTAACCGATAGGTGCAATATGAGTTGCAATAAAGGTTCATATGTGTAACCCTTGAAGGGCATCACAAGATTTCGTACTGCCATACGCGGGGCAGTTGTCTAACTCAGAGGTTTCATTTTACCTGACTGAGGTCTTGAATGCTTCGTAAGCGCCATAACCAGGACTGTGGTATTTGTGGTCAAAGTGCCATGCCGTCTTCTGGTACAACTCTTCAAGTTGGCTGTCACTTTCATAGTGCAGGATTTCGCCGACGTGCCGCAAGATGCTGTTGACCTGAGGGGAAAAGTTCAAAGGTTCACATTGAATCAGCACAGGGTAGGTACTAGAGTTGTATGACCTTAATGCACCTAGCCATAGTGGCCTTCGCTCTTCTAACAATCTGAGAGTTCCACACACATTCAAAAAGGCAGGGGACAGGGCCTTTTCAGTGTCTGGTCCCCGATGCTGGAACTCCTTACCAAGTAACATCTATAACATCAGTTCCTTTGACCAATTTAGGGCTAGACTGAAAGCTCATCTGTTCTCCTGACATTAGCTTATCGTAACTTATTTTCTGGAGTTGTCCTTGCTGTGCATTGTAACTTGCGAAAACGCGCGTTATAAGTCTTAGTAGTAGTATTATTGTATTCAAGTCCATGGCAAGTTCCTGCAAGTTCCTATATCATTCTGTCTTTAGCCAGTTCAGGCTATGCAAATGTGCTGTGACAAAAGCATTCCTTTGTCATTGTTCATCGTGTTACTTATGGCTGGACTGATGAAGGGACTTGGGACTGGAATTGTGAAGGAACTTGTGAAAGGACTTGTGAAAGGACTTGTGATGGACTCGAATAGAACACTGGCAGGTACATAAAACATCTAATGAATCAGTTTCGCTTTGGAATCTCAAAGGGGCACTGGACAGGTACAAATTTCTATTTCTCAAATACAGTGCAATAGGTTTTTAACACAAGAAAGAACCAAAAGGAAAGAACTACCTTGTGTCTCACCTGGAAAAGGTTTGGACATGCTACATGTATTGGCCTAGAAATCTAAAGGTATTTCTTTTCTTTTATAGTGATTTTTGACAGGCCTACGTTACCCACAGCTTTTCAATTCAGAATTACTGACCATTCCAAGTAAACCTTTTTTTTCACTTACTGTTTTGGCTTTTGCATATTTCTCCTCACACTTTGCAATCTCTTCTGTCGACACTCTTCTCTTGGATAAATCAATGTAACCTTTTTCATGCAAACAAAGCAGGCGGAGTACATTTCAGTTCTCAAAGACTGAATTTTATTGGTTTTTAATAATCACACTTGCTGATTCAAGATCAGGTTATGGTGTACAAAGTATCTATCAAAGTGATTTTCAGGATATCAAAACACAATCTTACTTTTATGTGGAAAATTGGATTGTATCAGTTTGAAAATAGGAAATTTAATGCTATTTATTATCAATATGTGACAAAAATGCTTGTCTGAATACCACATTAGCAAACCTATCAATTCAGGACGGGCCAAATTTTCCACCTACCCAACTGAATACTTTTGAAAAAGGACAATTTTTCAACCTTATCCTCTGCACAGAATTCTAACTTATGAACAAACATAAGAAGGGAAATTGAGGGACTTTTTCAACGGCAGAAAATAAATCACAGCGGTACTTCAATGAGGTGACCTACCTTTGTCCTTGTCCACTCGGATGACCACCACACACTCATTCCTGCCGACCCTAATCAGCTTGTTGATGGATCGGATACGTCGTCTCGACAATTCACTCAGCATGATCATGCCCTCGATGTTCTTGTACTCCAGCAAGTTGACGTAGGCTCCCATCTCGGCGATGGAGCGGATATTGACCATAACCACATCTTCCACTTCTGGGTAGTGTTGCTCGTAGAATCGACAAGACAACGGCATGATTTAGTTCCGGTGTTGCTTGTGTGAGAACTACACTTCTGTCTGTATGAAGAAGATATGGAGGGGAAAAGAGACATTTAAATTATAATCTTGACAAATGCTCCGGTCAGTAGTTAGCAGTTTGTGCAGAAATCATCACAAAAAATTAGTCTGAATGTCTCAACACGTAAACACACAGACACAATGACAGAACCTAACAATGCTAACTGACTAACACACTTTCTGTGACTTTGGCCAAGATCTGAAGATGTCCATTTCCAAATTTCCTTGGTTTTCTCCAAAATGATCCACATAAATGATTTACGCCAAAATGACTAGGCTATGATCAAATGGTCAAAAGATGGTGTGGTCATGGGGGGCATCTGTATACACAGACGGGTAGAAAACCCTTCCCCTAGCCTGGACAAATACTAGATAAAAATAGTGACAAAGACTGTCACAAACTTCACATGATGTAACGACTGGCATCTAGGCACGAACGGCCTGATGATTGGCATTGGTCATGTAGCATGTTTAGTCTAGCATGCCTAACCGACCAACATACCGGTAAGTATACCACATGAATGTATATACTATATAGGCATGATAGGCCTACATATAATGTGTACACACTACCACAAGCATCACAGTGACACTGTGTTGCGCAGTGTCACTGCTCTGTCTGTGACACCATGTGGACAGACCGCCAAATTCACTTAATTCAGCATCTTCAGGCTATCAGTCTGAAGGCCTAAAATATAAAAAATGAAAGTATTAAAAACACTATCTAACGGAAAAACTATTTTCACCACAACAATATCTGTGAATGGTTTCTTACGAACGGAAAAAACTACTGATATTACCCAGAAAATCGAAGTCAACAGCAGAGATGATGCAACTGGCATATGTTTGCACACGATTTTTTCGTTTTCACATGGCAGGTCAGAGTCCTTGTGCGTTTGCATTCGATGTCACATCATAGGTTAAGTTACCAGACTAAATGATTCCAGTGAACGTAGAGGGCGCCCTACTCAAACTTCATGCGCGAATTCAAGCAAATCAAGAGGCGAGTGTCGTGTGAGTTTTGCTCTGAAGTTTCTGTGTTTTGTTTTCATTATCGAAACAAATTTACCTGAGATAAATGAATTAGTGTAGCAGTATACTTTGAGAATTCATGCTTGTCTTTTCTGAATATTGTTATGTAAACGGGCAGTAGAGTTTTTCCTTGGCCTGTAAGAAGAAAATGGTGAAAATGTTTTTGTGGATAGGCGCGGTGTGGCGCTGTTCGGGTCGGACATGCCGCGCCGGACGTCTTGGCCGGCCTGGGCACGCGAAATTGGGCGGGTTATCAGGGGAAAGGAGTAGCTAAGAAAGGGGGGGTGGGATGTGGTGGAAGTGAGATTATGAAACTGTTTTATCAGATATGGTTTTTATAAGCGAAGAGAAGAGTTCCTTATATGGACAACACTAACATGACTAAGTTTCCCTTGGAAATGTTCTAAGTATAACAGTAACACTTAACAGCCGTCAGAAAGTGATAACATGTCCTCAAAAGTGAAATTTAGCTAAGAAAATTCCAAAGCATTTAATTAGAAAACAGTTTTTTTCAGACAAGTCTCTTAGGTTTGTACACAGGGGTATCAAGTGTTACCCGTAAATGGAACTCTTTCCAAGCGAGGTAGCTACATGATGTAAATTACCTTGTCAACCACGTTAAGTTACAAGGTAAACAACAATGTAACAAGGTGACAGTCTGTTATTTTCCTGGTTTCTCTCTAGCAAGACTAGGAAGAGTTAATTCCAGTCGGCCAGATCTTGGAAAAGATGGATATATCCACTGTTAGAGCCTAATGACGAGTCTTCATAACATGAGTCTGTAATGCTGGATATTTCCATGTAGATCTCTTTGTACATGTAAGTTTCAGTACATGAAATTGTGATTTAAGTTCAACACGTAATTTTTCCAATTTTTGTAACAGAAATCAATCTGGAGTTGATTGCGCACTGCAGCACGTTCTTTACAGCAGGCCTCCAAACTTCGCTAGGTTGAAGCATGTTCGGAACAAGCGCAGGATTGGGTGGGGCCACCGGTGGCTCGGGCTTATTCGGTCAAACCACGGGGGCGCCGGGCGGTTCCCACAATCCCATGAAAGACTTTGAGGTCACCAGTCCACCTGACGACAGCATCAGCTCACTGGCCTTCAGTCCGGACACCCTACCCACAACATTTCTGATTGCTGGGTCGTGGGACAACAACGTGAGTAGGACCTTGGATTGCAAGCCTATTGTCCAACTATCCTTCGCCATTTTAATGCATTGAGCCAGTCAGTGATCACACTGCCCCTGTCCAATTGCTGGTCTTCGTCTGGACTGAAATTATCAGGCAGACTCTTTGGTTCACAGCATACAGGGTTTACAAATTTCTCTGTTAAGCAATACCTTGTGCATGTCGTCAGAGAGATGAAGCCACTGGCATCAGAAGTGGAGGGGCAGGGGCCAGTAGCCCCCTACTTTTTGACTTTGGGGGGGGGGAATGCCTGAATCTTGGTCAGAACACAATGGGGTGGGGCTTAGTGGATCAGTCCATCAATGTCTGATGGTCTCACAGCTGATCCTCACCTACTATGAAAATCATCCCTCATTGCGTGAAGCAGTCTTAAATGTGGTTGTACATGTACATGTACTGTAAGGTGACTAAGTGAGGTTCTATTTGGACCGAGGCACTCAGAACTGCAATTCCATCAATTGTCGGTATGTGTCCCGTGTGTCTATGACCAGTGTAGACTTTCATGTTGATTCAGCCCCAGACGCAAGATTTGGAAATGGCCTAACTATCTGTTTGGTTTATTTACGCCATCATTTGTTTGCAGGTGCGGTGTTGGGAGGTTCAGAGTACTGGGGCCACCGTACCCAAGGCACAGCAGACCCACCAGGGACCGGTTCTGGATGTCTGCTGGAATGATGTATGTACATGTCTATAGACTTTGTGCAGGAATGATAGAGGGCGCTCTTTGACCAACCCATGAAAAGAAATAAGGGCATTTTAATGTTCTTCTATTTTAGGACGGGACAAAGGTCTTTTCGGCATCTTGTGACAAAACAGCGAAGATGTGGGATTTAAACAGTAACCAGGCCATCCAAGTCGCGCAGGTCGGTGGAAACATTTGCTCATAACATTTCTATTCGTTGTCAAGGAGCAGTTAACACGTTGTAGTAGTGATTTGGCAATCATAAGCAATGTGAAAGGGTTTGTCTCTGCTGTGTCTTTGTAGCATGATGCACCCATCAAGACAATCCACTACATCAAGTCCCCTAACTATTCCTGCATTATGACTGGAAGCTGGGATAGAACACTCAAGGTAAAGTCAAGACTCTGTCTTGTTTCTAAAGTGGTGGGAGACGTTGACCATCACTGCTTTAGGAAGAGATATTGCCATGAAATGCTGTAGAATGACAGGTTACCTTGGATTAAACACGGGCTGTGTTCCCCTGAGAAACTTGTGTGTGTGGTACTGAGATACAACGTGTGGATTACCAAGGTTAACAGTTAAACACAGCAACTAGCCTGTATTTTGGCCAGACGAAGTTGAAAAGTTTTAAGGAACGAGCAAATTAGTTGACAGCACTGTCCCAGAATGGCCCATCAAAGAAATCCACGGAACAGGCTGCTTGTATATTCAGCAGAAACAAATCTGTGAAGCTTGACTTCAAAACTCCATTCTCGCTCCTTTCAGGCCTGACTGATTTTTGTTTCCACAATGATGCATGAGCGTTATGGTACCATTTCTCTGCAGTTTTGGGACACCAGATCGTCAACCCCGATGGCAAATATCCAGCTCAGTGAGCGATGCTACTGTGCTGATGTGGTGAGTCGTTACTCAGGAGTATTTTATCCAGTTGACTTCAGTTGCAGTTTTTCCACTACCACGGCAATGTTTTCTCACGGACTTGGTTTTTTTTAATGCTTATATAACTTTGCATGTTCATGAGCAAAACAGCAATAATCTGGAGAAACTTTGTCGTCGAAATCGTCTGAGAATAAAAAGTGAGCATTGGTATTTTGGGAAAGGTGTCTGCTATTTTGCAGACACCTATTTTGTGTTTAAAATCTGCTAGATTTTGTAGGGTTAAGATAAATGGAGAAATACACAGCAGGCCGAAGCAGAAGGCTCTACTAGGTGCCTGCACATTGTAGGATATTGGTAGATTCAAAGGGTGCTAAGATAACATACCTGGAGAGTGACGATCTGCCAAATAAACTTACTTCTGATAGGTCTACCCTTTGGCTGTGGTCGGCCTTGCCGGCAAGAAGATCAACTTATATCGACTGGAAAGCGGTCCACAGGAGGTGAAAATAAATCAGGACTCTCCGCTGAAATTCCAGGTAGGAAATAACTCCAACTGCAGAGCACTTGAATAATTTCAAAATGGAAAAAACTTGATTTGGATATGAAAGAGTTCGTGCATCTAAAGGACAAATGTTGGATAATTCCGTGACTTTTCCCATGACCAAATTATAAAAATCCGTGACCCCAAAACGTAATTTTTTTGCACTATTTTAACTGTTAAAGTTGCGAATAAAAACACGCATTTTATGCACTTATATCTGATAATGGAAGTCACATACAATGTTTGAAAAATTCCATGAGTTTTCCATGACTTTAGAGTCATTTTTACAGAATTTTTGACTTTTCCAGGCCGGGAAAACAAAACCAAATTTCCCTGACTGGACTTTTCCTGGCCATGGGAACCCTGATATGATATATCTTTTTGTTACTGAGCATCGCTGAAATTGTTTTATTTGTTTCTCTGATCTCAGCATCGATGTGTAGCAATATTTCAAGACACCAAGAAGACTGGTCCAGCTGGCTATGCCTTAGGGAGCATAGAAGGCCGATGCGCCATCCAGTTTGAACCCGCTGCAACTCCGTAAGTCAGGATTTTCAAACAGAAGTTTATAGAGGCCCTTCTGATGAGTCGCAGCTCTAGATAGAAAACAAAGCTTTTTCTTCTCGACAACATGATTTGTAGGAAATGTTTGTATTTGTGGTACATTCTGTGACTTTTCAAGGAAAAATTTTAAGATATTGAAAAATGCTTAGAAGTTTGGAGATCATCATCGTAAAACTTTTGGTTGTTAGGGCTAAGTCAGTTCGAATAATTCACTATTCGAATATTTGACCTTCAATTCCATCGAATATCCGAATATTCGGTTGTACTGACCAGCAGATTGTTAATGAACAAACCATGTACAAAATCAGTTGCAATAACACACACAATTGTACATAATGATCAATATAGTAGCTTCTCATATCTAGGGGTATCCCCAGCCACGATTTAGCAAGATTTTAAGAGATGAACAATACTTCTTGTCCAGTTGAAAATTTCTATTCCATTTAAATTGTTGAATGAATAATTTACTTTTTGAATCGTTGATAGATTTCTGTCACTTTCATTTAAATCTCCTTGAAACAAGCCTCCGTGGTCACGTTTTTTCATTTAAAGCAAAAGGAAATGTTCCCTTCGAATATTCAAATTCAGAAAATAATATTTGAATATTCAACAATTGATGGAATATTCAGATATTTGGCACAGCCCTATTGGTTGTATTTTGCAGCAAAGACAACTTCACATTCAAGTGCCACCGATCCAACGGCACCTCCTCTTACTCTTCCTATCAAGACATCTACGCTGTAAGTTGCACTGATCTTTTTGTGATGTCCCTGTGTGAAATGGTGTATCGTGTGCCTGTAGACCCGAGATTCTAGGCAACAGAGGGCGCTGTTAGTGCTCTACTGAGCCATCCATAGAGGTAATAACGGTGTCAGCTAGCGGTGACGGGTGAAGTTGTTCCCAGAACAGGGCGATGTTGTGCAATTGCTCGCAAGCCTTTATGCACTGATGTAGTCTAGGCCACAGTCGTCTAGGCGCATGAAGCTTTTCAGATATGTATCACGACCCACTGTGATTGTGAACATTTCATATGTATGCATAGGCGTTTGCCAGGTTCCAACCTCCATTCTCGCAGGTCAGACCTCTAGTTCTACTTGTGATCTCTATGAAGCCAACTGATTCTGCTATCTTCTACAGCTGCTGCTAACGCTGCTCGTGCCGTTAGTCTATCCCACCGGGACAGGGTATCCAGTCTAATGCTTTTGTAGACTGGTACCCTGACCTCTGCCACTTAGCCTAATGTTTGGTGACTGGATGTTTTGCCAGGAGGAAATGGCAGCTGCATTGATCTGTATCACTGCAAATCAGGGGACTGGATTTCTGAAATCGAAGGCAGCGATGAAGACAAAGTCAAGATTTGGATAATGGGCTAGGGTGGTTGGTTGTGGCATGTGTACCTTGAAAACTCTCCTACCTCTGTGCCCTTTGACCCCATTCCCAGGTCAACTCCATAGCCTTTCACCCGGAGCATGGCACGCTTGCCACTGCTGGCTCCAACGGCAAGTTCAGTTTCTGGGACAAGGACGCCCGGACAAAGCTGAAGACGTCAGAAGAAATGGAGAACCCCATCACTGCCTGCACATTTGACGCCAAGGGCAATATATTTGCCTACGCAGTCAGCTACGACTGGTCAAAGGTCAGTATGCAGATATTGACTGCCGTGAATATGAAACAAAATGAATCACGTTGCTTCACTTTAGATGTCCATGCATGAAATCATTTGTGACAGCAGGAAAAGTGGTCTGTGCCCAGTGAGATGCAGTCATTGTTATGTTACAGGGCGCCCTCTCTTGTTCATAGGTAAAAATTTATCCCTACCAAGTTGCTTTTGATGATTGTATGATTTATTAAAGAGCTGTACATGTATTGTTGTTTTGTGTTCCAATTTTGACAACGAATACTAAAATATATAGGACCCCCCCAAAAAAATTGGTACTGTTGAAAAGGTACTTTGAACCATCTTTAAGTTGTCGGTCTACAACCTTACCAGAAAATAAGTAACACTGCGGTTTTGTTCTGAGAACCTCACAACAGAGAGACTCATCAACTTGTAAGTTTTCGCTTGATTCCTCTCCACTTTCAGGGCCATGAATTCTACAATCCTCAGAAAAAGAACTACATCTTCCTGAGAGGGCATGCCATGGAGGAGCTACGGCCCAGGAACAGGAAGAGATAAACTGGCAAAATCCACTGCCTGACATTACAACCCTTGGTTACCATGGCAGCCAGGAGGATGTGTTCCCGTGGTAATTGCCATCACCGACAGCCATGGAGATTCTCAGCACCGACTGTCCGTCTTAATCTTCTGTTTTTTTTTTAGTTCTTCAAGACTTTCCAGCAAGTTCTCTCTGAGAGACTGACAGCAGGAGACAGGGAGCAGAAGAAAGGTTTTAATATTGAGGTAATTTGGGGGGGGGTAGGTCAAAGGAGGTCAGATGAGGGAAGTGGGTGTTCCTTTCTTCATGCAAGATGGTATTAATCATTGCTGCGATGTATCTGCAGCATCCTTGTTGGTAACTGTCATGGACAAAGCGCAAAGCAGTGAAATCCAAACTTGCCAAGTCAGCTTGGCAATTAGACATTTCATGACAGGTCCTTTGTTTTATTAAGAGAAATTGCACAACAGACACGTCAAACTTGTGATTTGAACCAAAGCCGAACAGTAATTAGTCCGGCTGACATAGCCTCTCAGGAAGCAATGGACTTGGTAATGACTGGGAAAAAACAGCTGACACCCCCCCACTCTGAAAAAAACCCCCAAATTTCGAACAGAATTCCTTGTCATAAATGCTTCTTATCATTCCTGAATCTGTGAGTCTTATCAACATGAGGACCAAATAATGATTTGGTGAAATCCTGATTTATAAACTATAAACCAAGGCTGAACACAGAGAGAAATCTCCCTGCCCCCTTGTTAGTTCGTTCTCTTCAGAAAGTATGAGATGGCATATTTTCTGCTGAATTTTCTCAGCCCAGTTGTTCACGATGAAGAGGAATTCATACAAATCCATAAAGGTGTCATAAATTGCTTGAGCTCGTCAAGGAGTCGGAACTTGGAGTAGGGATTGCATGGACTAGACTCAAAACTTTGTGGAATTTCTTAAAAACATGTGGCCAACATTTTTTGTTTTCATGACCCAAATAAAAAATTTCCCAAGTTCAAAAACAACTTGCTTTGGATTTAATTTTTCCCAAAGCATTCACAAATGGAAGCGTCACTTTTTGTCTTCTGTTTAATTCATATTTGAATTGTGGTGTTTTTTCATTTATTTTCACTCTTACGACAGTTACGTCTCCGAGTTACTACCCAAGCTATATGTTAAGTTATGCACGTGTTTATGTTTACTGTCCACCTGAATGTAAATAGTTGTTGATGTAACTTTGAATGAATGTCCATACTCATACCCCAATATGCTTCAAATTTTGTAAAAGATAAACTAACAGGCTTAAGACTGGCCATTTTTGTTGGGTTTGGGTTACTTCTTCAAATCCGCAAACAGAGAAAGGTAAAATGTGAAAGGATTTACATGTAGGTACATGTGTAATGGATACAAAAATAAGGCTGTCAGTTGAGGGTCGTAGGTCATCCTGACGGGAGGATTTGCTGAATGCCAAAAGGAGCATTTCCTTAAAGTCTGTTTTTCGAGGTTGGTATTATGAAAACACAAGCAACAGAACTGAATTATGTCAGAAAAAAATGTAGGTGGAAATTTTAGCAGTATTTGAGAAAGACTTACAAAAAAGTTCAGCTTTGAGGAATTGTTGAAAACTTGAAATAACATTGGTGGAAAATGTTTGAAAAATGGATTTTTTTGTCCTGAAGGCACTCCATTTCCTCTACTCTTAATTCATTTACGAAGCCAACCTTAAACATGAGTTGGTGCTTTTGTTGTACGCTTTCTGTATGGGGGCTCGGTGGAACGTGTCTCCCTACATTGCCATAGCAAGGCCTGAAGATTACATGAAAATACCTGACATGACGTCAATGTGATGCCAGTCAATTTCCAATAGAAGGACAGAATTACCTAGCAGTAAGTGGACCATAATTACAGGGCCTTGCCCAGTTAGCAGTGCTGGGTCCATGCTATTGCCATGATAGGGATAAAAGGACACTTTGAGAACGGTACCACGGTAGACTAGAAACCTTGCATTAATTGATTCTCCCCACATGAGGCCAATGAAATTTGATTTATTGTTCCTCGTCCGGTTTTTTTTCAGATGTAGATGCGATTTCTTTTTTAATTACTCATTATTCCTTATTTTTCTGTCATGGGAAAAATAATACCATTTCGCATGCATAAATAGCAACGTGCCCACGGGCAGTCGGGCTCCAGATTTTTTTGTGTTCTGAAGTCTGGGATTGCCGGAACGTAACTTTCCATTGTTTGGAGTTAAATTTTCCGTCAAGTTTCGTCTTTTTTTTTCTCAAATATGAATAACGAAAATTTTTGGTAAGGGGCCAAAATCACATGCGGGCACTGACGAGAAACAATAGATCTAATTTCATTAGCCTAATTACGCGGCTTGGGACAGTGTGAATTATGGTCGTATGTTTACCAACAGCAATCGAAAATCATTAATGAAAATTTTTTTGTCCGATGGGTTATTCAGTAATTACGTTACCCTGATTCTGGGGTAGCCAACGCGACAGATGAATCGAGTGACCTTAAGGTGAATTCTTGTCCCAAGATTTATCTAGCGGTTGTTGTCTTTGTGTTAAATCGCAGTCTTTTGTCTGAATCCTTGACGGTGTAGGACTTCGATGCCACTTTCCTGCGATGTGGAGCTCAAATAGAGCTGATCCGTCCAAGATAGTAACCAAGCTGAAACCCTACGGTGGAGATACCGATTTCTCATCCACCTGCCCTCCTACCAACACGGCCTATAGATTTGACCTGTAATGCAGTTGACACTGAATCTATTTAAAAACGTGTTGCTGTTGCGGGCCCACTTACGGCTAATTTGGATGCCTGATGTTTGTAAATGATAGATCTAAAATTGAACAGTCTTGTTGGAAGTGTTACTGTATTTGAGACATCAATCTTTGGGCCCTGCGGACAAAAACACTTAAGAAAAAGAAGGAAATTTCATCAACGGAAATAATCGTTTGTTCATTCTAGCTGATAAAAATCTGAACTTTTCTATGGGGCTGGAATTTGAAAAGCAAAAGATTCAAACCCCATTAAAAAAATGGAACTCACCAAAAAGGAAACTCATACCGTTCAAGAAGAAATCGAACATATTTACAATCAAAGTGAAACCGTAAGATTTACAAACGTAAATAGACAGTAGGATGAAGACGAGAACCCATGGTATATAAAGTCTCTCATCGATCCGGAATATTTCAGATTTTTATTGCTTTTTATTGCTGCTTTTCCAAATACCTAAAAACTGTTAACAGGATAGAAAGGTTATTCTTCTGTCGTGTATTTGCTTCCACTGGATCAAAAGGCGGTAAACCTCCTTGCACCGTGGGCAGTACTGTGCTAGCGCCTTATCTCGGTTTTTACTTCCCTAAGATCAGACTGTATAATCATCTGTGGGCTATGAGTAACCTCTTCGTAGATGCTCTGAAACCCAAAGATTGCGTGTTCGAGTCCGAGGCAGACGTCCCCGAGGTTTTATCTTGGGGTTTAATACTAACAACAGATCTATACCTGATATATATAAAGTTTGAGAGTCATTCTCAGACATGCCGGTGGCCTGGAGGTAAGGTGCGGAGTTTCTGTTCAACGGAGCTGAGTTCGAATCCGGGGCAAGTCAACGTTTTTGCTTTTCGATCATTTAACACAGTCTTTTAGATAAATATATGAAAACAGCGTTTCTTTCTGGGGACCCAGATTGGGTAGCCGGTAGAGGTCTCGGCTGTGGAACGAAACGACCCAGGTTCGAGTCCCGCCCCGGGCAGAGATGCCCGGTGGAGGGAACCGGCCTTCGGTCGGAGATCCGTGGCGGTCGTCTAGCTAACTAGATAAAATAAAATAAAATAAAATGGAATTTTACTCTTTTTTTAGAGGTTTAAAAACCCCTGCAAAAGCAAAACTCCCACCCTACACGGCAGGTCTGGGATTCGAACCCAGCACCTTCGGCTTGAGCGTCAGACTGCCTTACCACTAGGCCAACGCGCTCTCCTTACTTAGTGGTGTTTGGAAGTAATATATAAATATTCGACCTCAATAGAAGCGCAAAATTGTTTAAGTCAGCGCGCATGCGCTCTTCTGCATCAAAGTGTTCATTGATTGAGTGGATACCAATATACCAACCAATGCCTATGCCAGCTCGTATACTTCCCATCAAGTTTTCGGTCGATATCTCTGGAGAAATAATGTTGCCCATGAACTTCATTTGCTTTTTCCAGACCAAGTAAACTCTTAATTCCATTTTCTGATGACAAGTATGATAAACTTTTCAAGTCAAACAGAATAATACTGATTTTCTTTTTCTATGGTACCAAAATGGCCCGATGTTCCCAAACAGACTAGGCCTACCGGTTGAACCGAGACATACACGTCGACACGCATATTATAAAAAACTTGTGTTCCAAAGTCCTACCTAGTAGCGGCAAGCCTGAATTAACATAATGACTTTTTTCTAGCCAGAACGGAGTCTCCACTCTGAAATCAGAAATGGTTTTGAATCGAAATGTCTTACTTGTTGTCGTTAATCACTGCGGTTGAAGAGTGTTACATGTGATTGCGACAGCGATAAAAAAGGGAGAATGACGCGGCACAAGCTGCAGACCTACTTTGCAAGCAATTTTTAACACTTAAATTTCCGGAGACTTATTTTTTAGTATTTGTTTTGGATAAGGCTTTTAAAAGGTCACCTCTAACATCGGTGGAATTTGTTTTAGGAATTAAGTGGAAAAACATCTCGTCATGGCGAATACGACACGACGAGTAAGCTTCAAGCAATGCAATGCTCTCGGGAGAAATATGAAACTTCTTAGAACTGATTCTGTTATATTTCCGCATTTATAAATCGAAACTTTAGAATGGATTTTTTTCAAGCTCTGAAAGCAATAGGCCAACCTCTTCATTGATCTTGAAATTATGATTCCTACGTTTTTCGAGAGAGCCGCAGGACTTACACCTGTCACACTGTTAAGTCAAAATTCCCTCATTTTTGTTCAAAATCCTTTTGGCGTTTTCATCATTAAGCAAGTCGGCCCATACTTTTCCTTCAACGAAATTCACGCGCAGTGCTATGCTCAAACACGCTGCGCCCTATTGCAGACTTACAGTTTTGAAGCGAAAGCCAATTTAACACACAGTTAACAGCTTCGACCTCGCCCAAGCTCTCTCTACCGCGGACTATCGAATTAAGAGGCGGCCAAGCTACTCGGGAAAAATACATGCAATAGTGGCAATGATTTGCTTGCAGCGTTTTCGTAGTTAGAATCACACATCTTGCGGCACAACGTAAACGGCGCTGCAATGGTAGTGTTACAGCATTCAAAATATTACACCGATGATGTAAATGCTCAAACGCTTGGTGTACACGAACTTATAACGCGTTAGCATACCGAGGAACGTATTCTATTCAGCAATACGAGCGCTCAACCACCTACTCCGTCATTAGACGGATCTGCACAAAGCATCAAGTCACAAATGGTCTTTTTTCAACAATCCAGTAAATTTCAGGATATGATCGATATCATCGCGCGCTGTTGTTCCAAACATGCCCTCGTTTCTGATCCAGCCAACCAGTTCATATACAACGCGGTAAATGCTAGATTACTATACACCGAGTTTTGGTTATAGCAGGCACGCATTGTAGTCACTTGACTACAAGACCGGCGTGTAATTTTGCTGGCAACATTTTGACGCTAATCAGATCAATAAAAATGAAGCAAGCGCGGGAATTTTCAAGGGATTTCAAAAAGTTGATTTAGATAAATATGAATTAAGTTTAAAGAGACCTTTCCGTCCGGCATCGCTCCGAGAAAGGTCACTTTGTGAGCAGAGGGACCTAGGAATAAATATCGTCCATTATTCCTTACGTCCCTTTCGTCTTCCTCTATCCCTTGTGATAAGTCGGCAAAGCTAATTTGATTAGCTTTGTGCGTAAAAGTTTACACAGGGAGCTCAAACAGCGCAAAACAAAAATCCAAAGGGTAAATTGAAATTAATTGTTCACAAGCAAACTGTCTTTGTGTTAGCAGGGTTGGTTGGCGTGACGTCGCTGTGACGCACATGCAGCAGGACTTCGTTGTCGGCCCATCGGCCGGCGGCGCTTCTTTAGAGAGGTGGACTCTATCAGAATGGGGCAGGCTTTTTACCGAGTTTTGTGGTTCGACTTTGTAAAAAAAATATTACAGACCTTCAGTTAAGTGAGTTTTCCTTCACAGGTTGACAATAAACTTGGTGTGAGAACAAACGCAAGATAGACTTGCAATTGAAATAATTTCAGGCTTTCACAACTAACTTTTCTTTTCAAAAAAATGTAAAAGGGCTCACACCCGACGTTCGCGCGCCAGTAAAAAACAAAACGGGAATCAATGGTCTTCGACGGCTGTTTGCAAACCTATACACGGTAACGATGCAGCTATGCACTCAGAAAGCTTCTGATTGGTCAGAGTTGTTGCGGTAATGCAACACGCGTGTACGGTGTCTTGGCGATAAATCAGCGTGCAGTTTGTAGAATACTTGGCCCGGGCTGGTTGTCAATATAGACCGCGGGAAAATTAGCGCAGCGAAGATAAACCTGACACCGCATTGGGCAAACAAATCTGGATGGTTTTGGTGAAGAACTACAAGCAGCTTGCGTTACGGACTATTAACGGCCTCAAATCTTGCCTGGAAATGAGAATTCGACGAAGCTAGACTTTCTCCTTTGTCGGTATAGTTTGGGTGAACACACCGACTGATAGAAGGAAACTAAATGATTGGAAGAGGAAGCAAAACGATAACCTCCAGTCGGGGATCAACAACCGACCGGGTAAAACCTGAGAATATCAAAGGTAGAAAGGCAACATCACAAACATTTGGGCCACAGGCTGCTTCGGGTAAGTCTCTTGTCACTACTTCAGACTTTTTAGCACTATTCGAAAAGCAAATTCCACCCCATTTCAACTATCCGTGAGAGGTATTTATTTTGGCGGACGGAGGCTGATCTGTTTCTTAGCATCTAACGTTGATTTGTAACAATTCAATTTTTACTGACCCTAAAGTGAAGTCTGTTGTAAACAAAGCCGATTTTTTTTCCACGTTTTGGCGGTGTACAGCTCATTTTTCCGTTACTCGGAATAAAAGCCTTTACTGGCCCGCGAAGCCTGTTGCTTGTTATGTTCCTAGTCCGCTGTGGGTACGCGACCACAGACTAACACGGCAGGCACGTTTCGCAAAAATATTTCCTCAATCATTAATAATGCACCAGCATATATATATATATTTTTAATCGTTACACTAGACTGGTTAAGCACAATGTAATATCCCTCGAGTTTACCTTAGTCAATAATGTTAAATGTATCCTCATATTCAAATGTATGCTCGTTAATCATTACCCCAGAGAATCAACACTAGAGAGCTGGAGCGCCAACCGGCTGGGAACACTCCAGTTTTTTCTCCCGACCCGCACTCCGTCATTCCGACGAGATGTAAAGACCATGACTTGACTGTTGAGGTAAACCACGCAGCGCTCAGGTTTGACGGTGCCAGTGCCGAATCTTAAGTGCTAATCCTCAGGTGTATAGGTGGGTACGACATGGGTAATGACACGGTTCTATCGACTATCGCACCTGTCCACTTGAACCTCACAACAACACCGATCCAACACCTCCCCAGTACCACAAAGATGTATATCCCTGACGAGTTCGATCTGTCGCCCGCTACTGAACGCATCTTCGTACCTGTCATTGTGATTACGCTCTTCGTCGGACTCCTAGCCAATGCTTTGGCCGTCTTCATAACCGCCAAGTGTGCCAAGGAAAATAAAGAACACAAACTAACTATCCCTGGCATACTGGTGAGGGCCCTGCTGGCTACAGACACGAGCGCAACAGTTTTCTTCTTCATCCGAGGCTGTTGTTTGACCCTATACCGGGACACTTGGATACAGTGCAACTTGGACCTAGCCAGCAACCTTTTTTTCTCCTGGGCGTCCGGGCTGGTGAATTTATTGATGAGCTGCGACAGGTGCCTGGCGCTGGGCGCCCCTTTCTTCTACCACGTGCACGTTACGCGCAGTAAAACGTACCTCACGCTAACGTTGTCTCTTCTATTGGCGGGGGTCTTGAGCCTACTGCCTGTGTTTGGATTCGGAGCGTACAACATTTACATCCAAGGAGAGTACCACTGCTTGGCACCCGGTGACCTCCAATTCAAAGCCACGGCCTTCGATTTCAGTTTTAACGTCATATTTTTCACGCTGGGGTTGGGCATCCTTGTTATCACTTATATCGCGAACTCGGTGGTGCTCCGGCAACTCTTGAAGTTGAGGAGGCACTTTGTGACCGTTCTCGACTCCGAAATGTCGAGAGTACAGCACTCCACGGAGGGTGAGGTGCATCTGAAAGATGGAACCTCAGGAGTGGGGACAAAAGCCTTCTCAAGAAGTGTCACCAAGAATAGCAACACCATTCCTCAGTCTAACGCCAACGAGAGAACAGGTGGATACGATTACATGCCTAAAAACAGCATCAGTACAATAGATTTAAGGGATGAGGGGGGACCCTCACGTCCGATGAGCACCTCACGCGAGAGGACTTCGATGCCCAAGCAACCTGACACGGGAAAAACAGAGATGAGGTTCGGTGTGATGATCCTTGTCTTTTCTATGGTATTCACGCTGTCTTGGTTACCATTTTACGTAAGTATAATGCTTTTTGGGGGGATTGTATTGTCTTTTTGGTGTTGCTCCATAGTCATTTATGCGCTTTCAGTCCCATTTTGGTATTGTGGATAACGCTTGTCGTATTGTTGACATTTATTCTGTTCTACACTGTCTGTCTCCGATACTGTGATAACTCTACCATTTATATCGTTGTTGCTTGTTGATGGCCATCTAGCCAGAAATCATTACCATGAAACTCTGTTTCCGAGTTTAAATATAATAATAAAAAACCCAAACCTAAATGAAAACAAGTCCTACAAATTCATTATAAGATTTACTACTCACTCACTGCAATGATTTTGCTTTGCTGAAGTCCTTCCTCGGAATTGATATATAAGAACCACTGTGTCCTTCGGTAATGTGCTATTGGAACACAGAATTGAGCAGTGCAGAGCATTTGATCGCGAATCGGCTCAAACAATAATCACCAATGGCTCTAACTGGCCTACAGCGGTTGCATCGCATCCACACAGCTTGTGAAATATCCATTAATATACAAAACGGACGCGACACTCACAAAAATCTGAGACAACGTAACGTGCCATAATGTTGTTTGGGAGGCGTAGCCAACTCGCCACATGCACATGCAACGACTAAATAGATCAATTTCCGCAGACTATAAACCGGCTTTGTGACGGCTAATTCTGAAAGTGAGTCGGGCAAATCACTGAATGGAACAAATCCACGAACGGTTCCCACTTGATCTTGATTGTTTCAGTGTCCTCGCCTGCCGTTCAAAACGGATTGTACTAAAATGATAGAAAATCTTCCCCCAAACGAATCAATCGAGCGGTATACATCAAAGAAACTTCTGAAATATTCCAATTTACCGCAAAGCTTTCGGCTGCGACCACCTGAGACCATTTATATACAGGTATGATTTTTTTGTTCAGCTTCTTTACTTCTAAACCCAGACTATTCAAAATGCCATTTTAAATTACGTCAGTGATAAACTGCAAAATCTCGAGAGCGCTCTCAACTTGCGTCAGAGTCCCGTTTTTACGAGCAGTGTGTTTGGTAAAACTGACGCACACGGCTTCTCCTAGTTCTGTATATTTTCGACGTCGGAATACCGTAATTACGAATTTCCATCTCGCGTTTTTATCGTGGACGATTTTTGTCGCCTAAAGAACGTTGAATCATAATGAGTCCAGAAATGTCAGATCCAAAGCCTTCAGCGGAAACGCTTGGGGAGATAGTAACACGCCTTACAATATTACCACTTGCATTAGGTCACGCGTTTTCTGAGTGCATGCGAACAGAAGACAGATTGATTTGCATCGAACAATATACTACAGCGACATATAGTATAAACGATCACAGGCCTCGACTGTGCCCTGTGATCACGCAGCATAATTTATACCAACACCATTGCGTCTTGGATAGAAACACGCCCAAACTGACAGGAAGTGTCTAGGACTGTCACACACGAACGCATTCTCGTCTCGGCATCCGCCTGTTCTGTCACCCAAAGTGGCCTGCGCGCCAAAAAAGCCGCCCCATCTCGACACACACGAGCTTCTAGCCTCTTATAACTGATCTCATAAATCAAGGGGCGATTGAAATGCGCTCACGTCGTCTCAACCCAACCGCCAACGACACGCCAAGAGGCTCTTTAATCGCTATAGTGGCGAGAAAGCGGAAAAGTGAAAAACTCTGTGAAGGCCGCGCATATAAAAAACGACCGATCCTGTGATATCTAATTGCACAGCAAGGCGTCCATCCAGGGCCACCGGACGTTACGTTGGACGAATCTAATTATTTTGACGAGTTCTCGGGACGCTAATTAACAACGCAGACAGCTGCCGTAACTATACGAGATGGCCTCAAGATGGTTTTTGATCGCACTGTTTTTTTAGGAAATTCTTTTAGGGAACTGTGGCCCTTCTCGATGGCGGTTTCAATATAGGTTCTGCATATAGTTTTGCGCGTGCAGACTAAGACGATTTCATTTTTACATGTATAGAAGTTACGTGAGAAAATTAAATTGAGTTTCCTCGTCTGAAGTTTTTTCCTGTCGCAAAAATGCAATGACACTCTTTCTAAATGCAAAATCCCGTCCAGCAGCAGGAAATTGGTACATTGTGAACGAAGGCGCAACCAGTACCACACTAAAACCGTAAGCCAAAGGTTTAGAGACGTTTCTTGAGGCAAAACAACCTTATCGTCTTCTTTTCACCTTCTTAGTCTGTTTCAGCGAGAGCACAAAATTAATGAAAGGTTTTTAATTGACTATTCCAATATAATCTCTTCGACCCATGCACGTATTACTTTTACATTCAATTTTCCTTGTCCGATTGGCGTCACTTTTGTCAGAATAATCCAACGTTTAGCAGTCTGACAGTCGTGACAGAGCAAATGCTCCACTGGTGCTTTGTCAAACATCGGTGTGGGTGTTTGTCAGTGTCATGATCCATGTTGAATTGCGAAATGAGAGGGGAAAAAAGGAATTTACATCTCCACATCCTGTTTGCATCTTCCTGTCCTCTTAAGACATAAGTTTTTCTTTTCATCTTCTCGAGATAAGTCCCTTGTCTTAAAAAGATCGGTATTTTGTCACTTTGAGTCTGGATTCTGGAGGATTAAGTCAAGATGCCAGGTTGCATCTTGTCAAGGCTTAGCTTCCTTTGATTTATTGCCAGCAATTTCATTCAACAATCTGACAACAGCAGCTTGTGGGAAATGAAATACGTGGATTCCCACTGTAGAACAGGCAAAAAAATCCGTATACACGTAGCCGTCAACCATAGCAGAATCTATGGAAGTTTTCTATGCACTGCGCCAACGAATGAGAGAGGCAAGGCAACGGCTCTGGCTAAAAACGGAAATGCAACCAAGCTGATATTTAGCAGATATCAGTCAGAAGTTTAAAGTAAAATTTTTGGTAATTAAAATTAAAGTAATAGTTTGTAACATGGGCATGTTATTTTCTACATTTTCATTTTCTACGATTTTGTTGGTTTGGCACACCGTAAGCGAGGAATCCTTGAAGAATCACAAACAATTTTTCCCCGGGAGAATTACTGCACTAAGGAAAACACAAAATGCGACAGCCGTGCTCACCAACAGATAACACAGATTACAAATTTCCAACTCTAATTACTGGCAACGTTGGGAATTTAATACGCGCTCGCTATGGTTTGATAATCGGCTACCGGTGACTGACTTGATCCACAAGGTTACTACTTTTATTTTTTCCACTGGCGGTTTTCTACACGGACTTTTATTAGTCTTTATTTTTTACTGAGCGACAAATGTAAAGGCATTTGAAAGGCCTACATGAAATGAACGACAAAACGGAATATTTTTGTTTTATGGTTTTCTGAAGTCTGAACACGTGACCAGAAGGGCTTATGTCTTTCGCCTAATCTCGCCACTATTCTTGCCCTTATTTTGATTCTCGACTCACGTCGCTGGCAGAGACTGTCATGACAACCGTTTCCGTTTTTAAAGTTCGAGGTTCAAACAGTGTTGTATATCAGACACTTCATGTCCCTGGCAGAGACGGTCATGCCAGCCGTTTCCGATTTCAAATTTCGAAGTTCAAACAATGTTGTATCAGGCTACGATCAAAAGCCAGGTTTGGCGACGATCGACCAGCAAGATGCCCATTCATAATTAACTTCGTATATTGACATTAATTAAGTCGGTGCCGCGTGCTGCGTTTGTCATGTTAAGTCAATTACAAGTCAAAGAAGACTATGTCAATAGTTCGCAACTCTTGAGATCGAATCCTAAACATTAAATGTTGACATTTCATTCTCAGACAATATATGTTTGATCTGCAAACCTCCACTTTCCGTTTTTTCCTTCAACCGTACAACCAGACCTTTGACGAAAATCTATCTGTTATACGGGCGATTCCCAATTGTTTGCAAGGCGTTGGCCAATCACAGCGCCCGAAATCTGTCGACCTTTTCAAACACGTACTGGGTAGACAGACTTCGCGCATCGTGATTGGCCAACGCGTTGCAAACTCTTGGAGGCGCGCTATTGTGAATCGCCCGTTTTGCAGGTGTACGTATAAGCCTACATGTACTCAATAAAAGTTCCCTTTCAATACACAATGTACGCAGATGTGACTAATGTTACTTTGACCAAATCGACAGATTACCCTTTTCAAACTGTTTTACTGTCTTTCTTATATCAGTCTCGTAGGTGGCTTTTAGTCTGACGCCTAAATATTTTGAATTTCTGTGTTGGAGTTTTAAACCGAAATAACATGCATTATACACACCGCGGCCGTTGGAAAATACCGAGACGGTTTTCATGTTATATCTGTCTTCGTCTCAATCTGCGCCGATTTTAAAAATCCTGACTTTGAAGTTAGAAGCTTAATAGCAACAATAGTGCCGCTGAACTACATGAACAGATCAAAATTATTCAAGCATTTCTAATTGTGGAAGACCTGCCTAAGTCATGCGTGTTATTGTAAGAGACTTTCATCGCGGACAAAAAATAAATTGCCAAGGGCTGTCGGATAAACTATGTATAGGTATACAAAGAAAGCGGTAGATCTTTTTGTTAATGTCTCCCGACCAAAGGTTTATTTTTAGTGATAAGAAACCGGCCATTGGGAAAATGATAGCTGTTCAAGGTACTCGCAAGCATGCGCGGGCCCAGTTTGCTTGGAGGTGTTGGCATAACGCTGACCGAAAAGGTGATTTATTGGATCGACATTTCCGGGGACCTTCGTTTTTAATTCCAAACGTTTACCCTCTGGTAACAAGCTGTCCTAGCTAGATGTTACAACATAAAACCAGAACTTAAACACCTCATCTTAAGCATGAACTCTGAAATCACCTGCTCCGTAATTAAGAAATAATGCGGTAAGTTTTATATAATACGGTATGTAAGTTGAAATTACATACTGCTTTTTTTTTACAAGCTGGGTAATGTGTTTCATGCAAGTCGTGACCGGATTCCGCGGTGCCTTACTTTGCATGTATCTCGGGAGCATTTTGGAATGAAGGGCTTTTTTCGTGGCAACAAAGGGCAGGACTTTAAATATCGATTGTGCAAGGCCTTCTTCGAGGAAGTCCCTTTAGGTGATGCATGGGTCTGCTTTTATCGTGGACAGCATATGACTGGTGTTGGAGATATCGACGCAGCAGTGTCGGCCCATCTCCGCAGCTGAGCCAACACGGTAGCTCGGGAATATCAAGCTGCATGTCCGTACCTAGCAGCCACACGCCGGGTTTTTTTTTACGGGCAAATCAATTTAAGTCAAGGTTCTAATTCTCATGCATCTGAATTCTGAGCAGAGCCCGAATTTTTTTTTTTTTAGCGGAACATTTGCAGTAAATACCCAAAATATGCTGTTTCCGTTTTGGGCGTAACAGCGGCGCGCGCTACGAAATGCCGCTCTCTTAAACCAGCAACGCCCGCGGTCAAGCGTCTAACACCAGACCAATCAATTTTATTTGCAATATGCCACTACACCTTAAGTACGTAGTTTTCATCCCGGTCAAACTCAGTGCAAAACAGATGCATATGTCATTAATGAAATGAGAGTGTGTATCACTGAAGTGCTTATCTCACATCGGTAGAAATAATAAATATCATAAGAGCATCGGCTTGTTTACCAACAAGTGATCGATGGTCAGGTGGCGTGCCAAGAGAAAGGGCTTTCGCAACGGCACCGAGAGCAGTTACTACGTGCAGTAATTACGGATGATTATGGGTCGCATCAACAGCGTGCTTCCCTCGTAAAGCCTCGCTCCACAATAGATCTTTTTTAACGAGCCTGTGGAAACAAAAGTCAGGATTGGTTCGCTTCCCGGAATACTGAGTGCACTATTTGACAGGTCATCGCTGGGCTATTGGTCATTCCCAATATCGGCGAGGGAAATGGGATCGTTTCGCGTTCTGCGATTTAAAAACCGCCAATCCATCAAACTGACACGCCCCTGACGCAGAAAATTGAACGATAAAAAAAATTAGGGAAAGAAGTCCAAGCTACAACAGAGGTCGTTGTTTTTAACTCATTGTCTCGCAAATTGACGGGCCCATTAAAGGCAGCGATAAAATGCCGTTAGGCGCGGTGAAGTTTTCTTGTTAATGTTGCACATCGCATGGCGATATTGCTGGGCCTTTTCATTTCAAGGTGAAGGTTGTAAACGGGGCATCGTTTTATTATTAATCTACGCATTCTGCTGAAGACGGCCACAAAATTGAATAGCTGTATTAAAGTCAGTTTAGCTTGGACAATATTTGCAAAGCTGATCATTCAGTCTTGAAAAAACCTGTTTACATAACTACCGACGAATTTATTGTTGTTCCTTCAACCCAACCTATCGATAAAAAATATTGTAAAATATCAACACGTAAAGTTAATTCATTTTGTTGGAAATAAATGTTGCTTGTTTGACTAAAAAAATGTTTTCAGCTGTTGTGCACGGACAAATTATAAATCAAAATTAATATTCAATTAAAATCAAGTCAATAACATTGAGAAAACTTCAGTTTATTTTGTGTTGCTTTCTGTGACGTAAAGGGAAATGATTTGTTCCTCTTAAAGCAGCATGAGATGTGGTGTTGACCTATCCGCTCAGAGCAGAAGAAAAGAAGGCTTTTTTACTTACCGCATAGGCGCACATTTATAATGGAGATCAATGGCGCGTTTGACGCGGAGCACGCTGGGAAAGCGTGACAAATTTATTCCTAAAATGTATGGTCTTTGCGTACACGCAGAACGCAAGAACCCGCTTGTAAAACTTATTACTACACCTCATAAATATTCATGAGCAAATCGGAGCGCGTCATTGGTTGCTACCATCTGTCTTTCTTTTGCCGCTTGGGGGCGTACTTCAAGGCGGGGCGGAATCCCTCAAATTTATTATGGTGTATTTAAGAACGCAAAGGGCAAGGCTTTCCCACTCTCAAATATATTTGAAAAATGACCTTTTGACCAGATTCAAAGACTTGTCAAGGCCGTCACCGGCTCCAGCTCCCAGCTCGCTCTTGTCATTGTCATCTACCTGCTGACGTTGAATCACGTGATTGACCCATTCGTCTACGTCCTCATGAAGCGGCAGTACCGCAAGAAGCTGGAGCAACTCGGCCGTAGGTGGCGCTCTCTACTCTGCCAGCGTTGCCGTGGTGATGAGGCTCCGTCATCCACCCCTGTTATGAGGAGCATTTCCAGCACTTTTTACGGGAACCGCCAAAACAGCCTCGGAAGTAAGTCCAATCAGGTAATTCATCGGTTTATCGATTACATGTATATTGAACTGTTACAATTTACCTGGCAATTACGCGCTTACTCACCCATGCATGTTTCTACATACACAATATATTTTATCGCTCAGTTCGTTACCACTCAATTTGACGCCGACTGTTGACCGACTCAATAAATACTACTAACACCACAGCTGGCCCTTTCCCTCCGTCATAAACCACGCGATCGAGACTAACAAACCATGTGGTTAAACTGCATTCCTTAATGCTCATACTCAATAGCGCCAAATGGTGATCCATCCAGCCTCGTCGTTCGTATCGCAAAAGAGCGCCCTCTTTCGGTCATGCACAAAGCCAATGACACTCCGTTCGTTGACAAATAATTATGTGTTTCACATTACGCACTTGTCATTGTAATGTCTCCACTACTGACTCCAGGAAGTCATTTAAATTTGGTGCCTGTCTACAAAACGAATTCAAACAATGTTCAGAATAACACACCTTTTGGATACATGTACAGTAATACAAGACAATTGTATAAAGTACACGTTGCATATTTCGTGAAAGCAAAGACGAAATATTTCCACAAAAAAATGAAATCTAAATCGAGTTGCAACCAGCTCGTAACCTGAATTCTTGCATCCTGTGGGTGTTATTTTGCATTACACTACCAGATCACGCCCGTGCTCCAGTTAATATTCTCGTTAATATCGATTTCGGATCCTTAATCTAAATTCCATGCCCTTGCAGCACCTAGGGGTAAATGAATCCTTAAACATTGACATGGTTTAACGACACCACCGTTCTTCCTTTTTTTTCCCGATCAGCAACGATCACCTCATGCACCGTGACGGCGGGATACGGTACTGCCCCAAGGAAGGGGCTGCACCTACCCACGATTCAAGTCACTGCAGCCAGCCCAAGCCTCGCTAGCGAGGTCAGTCACATGGCTTCATCGACGGAAGCCGTGCTTGACGAGGCTGGGTCACTCTACTCAGGGTGTGCAGATATCCCATGACTACATCTGCTGGCATATTGTGGACCTACGCCTTGAGGATTCCAACCTTGGGGACCGCTGTATACAAGCTTGGGGTTTACTAGCCTACAATCAGCCTCAGATTAACGACGAAGAAATTATCAGCCTTCAGATT